TTATGGGGGCCAAAAGAACTGTTTTCATTCTAGGCCCTGTATATTATTATTTGTTTTGAGGAAGGGTTTACAGATTTACCAGTGCCTCTTAAATCTATAAGCCCGGCAAACAAAATACCAATATGTTTTTTCTTTATTGTTCAGTCAAAAACTGAATGCTACATGTTATGAAGAGAAGTAAGGACCTGACAAAGCAAAGACTTATTACGACTTATTTTGCATTATAGAAAACACAGGTCAGGCCAAAGGACTGAAAGGGGATTTAGACCAACACAAGGCAGATTTTGAAAAAATTTTGAAGGAAAGGGCAGGAATTATTATTTTGACTCAGTGGAAACCATAGAGCTGGTAAAAGACTTCAAGGAAGGGAGGGAGAAACTATCTGGATGATCCTGCTGCTTCTCTGTCTCTGTAAGGGGCAGTATAATCCTAGCTTTGCAAATATACATCACTAACCCCAAACCACCCCAAACTAAATACAGTACTGAAATAGAAAGAAAATTTTGAGCTCAAACCAGACATAGCAGCCCTGAGACTACTGAATTTGCTGTACCAATTACCTGTCCACAATATTACATAGTCTCCAACCAAATACTATTAGTGTGGTTCTCAGAGTAATTCAAAGACACTGCTGCACTTTCTCAAATCATTTTTGGATGTCTCACAAGCTTCCAAGAGAATTATCATTCTTAAGGGTAAAGCACAGGAGACGATTTGTTCACATGTTTCAGTACAATCTGGTTTTCAAAAATTTGTTGCTTCCATGTCTTTTTGTATCTGAGTTTTTAGATTTGTTTAAAGGTAAGAAAAGTCTTCACATTTCTCAAACACCAGGTTTTTTTGTTCTTCTAAGAGAGCAAAAGAGGGTTTCTAGTACTTCACTAAACCAGGGCTCACTTGTGCTGGTCTGCAGGGAAAGAAGGCTGAGGCATCAAAAGCATTGCAGTTAGCAAATTTAATCCTTCCGATGCAATTAGTCTGCAATGAGATCTGATTAAATTTTAAGACTCAAACCTCAAGTCCAGTACTTTGGGTCAAGACATAAATAGACAAAGAGGATGAAAGAGAAGTCTGCTGTGGGCTTAAATGAGCCCTGGGCTCCACAGCTCAGGTTAAGATTTCTGAGGAATGCAAGCCAAGTGGATTGATTTAACACAGCATTAAAAAACATCTGGAAAAGAAAAATATGTACATCAAAAATAATCATGAGACAGTCTTCTCAGAGTAAAATAACCAGTGGAATGTGTGACATATAAAATGAGTTTCTGCACACATACCCACACTGCCACCATCAGCTTTGCTTTCTCATTTATTTAGGGGAACCTAAATTGGCAAACAGGCTCTTCCTTTCTCATGGATAACAGAGGAGGTGCTGAGCTGCTGGAGACTTCACCACTGCTGCAAAATAGAGGATGTGTTCATACCTGTTTGTGCAATGGACACTTGCTGTGCAATATTATCTTGTCTCTACAGATAAATTAGTTGCTTCATGCTCCTGCCAGCTTGATTTGTTTAGCCTTTACAGAGTACAGAATCCATGGAGTTTCTTGTGATTGAATCTCACGTAAAAGGTAAACCTGAGAGCTTATTCTACACTAAGCTATACATCCACCCAGGCAGCCAGAGCATTTGCTGACTTGATGATGAAAAGAAGGCTATAAAACATACCAGGGAAATCTTGAAACGTCGCTCACTTGACATAGCAATAAGAGCCCTGCATTAAGATGCAGAGCTGATTTCCCTGATCCATGAAATTGCCTGGATATTTAAGGCATTCTCAAACAGAACCAGCATGAAACTCACCCTCCATTCCTGGCACAAGGACACCGTGGGTTTTGTGTTCTCCAATAAAAAGAGAGCTCAAAATTGCAGAGATTAATAGTCTTTAAGGGAATACCTAAACACAATTTCCTCCCTTTCTCAAATAATAAGAAATAAGTATTCAAAACCTCTTGAATGCTAAAAGAAGGTTTTGCTTGATGACACACTGTTCAGGTGCCTGAGATGCTCAAGTTCTCTGTTGTGAGTGGTTCAAGAACCTCTCACAATAAAACAGTGTGCAATTCTGTGACCATCTTTGGAGAAGGACAATTGTTTCTCTCATAAACAGGTGACAGGGCTGGAATAGGTACAATAGGTGGAAAGCTATGAAAAATGTTATGAAGGAATATTTTGCCTTATTTTGCTGTCTGAGACTGGGGACATGGTTCAGAATTCCTTACCATGTGTACATTTCCAGCTGCTAAAGGGTGGGAAAAGACCCACCTATACTCACAAATAGTGGTGAACTGAGGGTCAGGTACAATTACTTCCAAAGACCCATCCAGTGAAAGCACAGTGAAGGGGAATTTGCCCTCAGCTGCCCTAGAACATTGACTGCGGGCTCTGCTACCTTGGATGCAAAGGAGGAACAGAGTACAGCAATAGTGAAACTACAGTTAGATCATTAACAGCTTCCCATTAGGTAAATAGAAAGGCTTTAACACAAAATGCACACAGCAGAAGCTTTCTCACCACCAAAAGGGACACATAACCCTGGCAGACAATCTTATCACTGATTTCTAGCCAAAATCACATAGAAAAGGTCTTCTCCCTCCAACCTGCTGCATGCATTGCACATATGATTTTCAGCATCTCCATTGCTAAGACAGACCTGAGACTCATATTCAGGTTCAAGATTTTTCTCGTTCATGGATTATCATTTCTTCTTGTGGACAAAGAAGGAGAATTCCTTAATCTTTTTCAGACTAAATTTCTCAGATTTTGTCTTCAGCTAGGCCGATAGCTCTTTCTATTTTGTAGTAAAATTTTGTACTGAGCAATTGAAAAGTAAATACTCCTCTGCTTCCTGTATTTCTGTTCCTCCATAACACATGCAGTATTTATTTATATATTTATACAGGTACACAGAATTACAAAAAATACAACTGGAAAAGACTCTTGAAACCATCTGGTATGTAACCCCATTCAAAGCAGAATCAGCTACACCTAATTAGCTCCTGAGATACGCTTGCCTACCCTACTTAAACAGTCTCCACAAACTCCCTTGGATATTTGTGATGTTTTGCTATTTTTACTTTTAGAATGTTTTTCTAATGTTTGGTCTGTTCCAGAAATTTTAATTAAAAGCTCTCTCAGAGGAGACTGGATTATTGTGGATTCTCATACATGAAAAGAAAACCCCAAATAAATCCACATCCAGAAACATGACACATTGAATTTAAGGTTCATAAATTGTTTGTAGGTCACATAGGTGTTGTTTCAAGCTTTGTGATTCAGAAAAGTTTAAATGAAACCAGCTATTTATGTATCCACCCTGTTGTTCACTTAAAAGAAGATCTTGATCACAGTAATTTCTTTCCTGATTGAAGTTTTGAAAGCTCTAAATTCTCTGAAGAAAATAGTTGTTGGCATTTTTGGATGATAAACATCCCAAAGCGATGATGATAAATTACAGTGTTGCCCAATGATGCAGAAAAGTAGAGAATTTAAACTGATAACCTCTGATTTATGAATACACACTCATAATTGCAAAGTCTAGGGGTTCAAAGTTGTAAGCATTGGGTCATTTTCATCTCAGTGTTTATTAAAAGTGTGAGAAGGAGGCATGAAGGGTGGCTGCCATTTTGTAATAAACACTTAAAGCTCTTTGTTTCCAGTACAAACCCAAAGCAATACAGAACTTTCTGCCTTTTTAAGGCCTACATAAGCATTTGTTACTGTTCACAGTCACAGAAGATGGGAATTTTTACATCTTTGCTCACTCATATAAATAATTCCTCTCACATATAACCATTCCTCTATACCTTTTCTTAGTAGAGAGAAAAACACTCGTCCAAATTATTAAAATAAATCCTCAGTTTTTCTTCATAATCATACTGGTGATAATAACAAAATTTATTCACAAGTATTTTTTTTAACTTACTATTTCACCTATCAACAGACCCTGCCAGTGAAACCCACCCAATGCACTCAAAGTCATGAGTCAAGGAATCTGTTTTGTCACAATACAGAAATAAATCATGTTACATTCCTTCATCACATCCCAAGTTTCATGATATTCTAATTTCTTCTTCTCTCTCCCTATTACCTCTCTGTTAAATATTCAAAGCAGGCAGCAAATGGCAGAAGGAAAAATAAGGTCAATTCAGCAAATTGAAAAAAAAAGCAAAATGTTCCTATCCACCATCATTCAGTTGTTACAGTTATCTTAATCAACTCAAACAGGTTCTCTGAGACATCTAATTTGATTTTACAAAGTGCTAACCCATAGCTATATTTGACTTTCCTCTGATTCCAAATGTAAAAAATAGTCTTTATCTAACGTTGAGGCATATCATCTAATACACACGCAATTGCATTTGCATTATGAGGCAGTGAAACATGGCTGGAGAGACATCTTGGATGTTATCTGCGTTATTACTCAAGTGGAGAATATAATCATAAATCCTTCTCTTCCCTTCCGCCCTCCCACCTTTTTTTTTTGGAAGTACACTTAAAATCTGGGTTTTAGCTTCACTGGGCCCATTACATTTGAACTTCAGTAACAAGAATGTGATATGAATACACTGAGAGAAAGCATAGACAAAAGGTATATTTTCATAATGTGGTTCAGTTTAACTGTTCCTACAATTAGCTACAACTCATTAGGCAATAAACAGAAAAACAAAGAGATCCTGAATGGAAGGGCAATATTTTCTCCATAAAACAAACAAAAAACATAACCAGATGCCTTTTTCATGAGGCTTTCCTTGCATAAATACACCCAGCAGCATAGAAAAGATATTTTCTTGATTGAAAATTTTTGTCCAGGAAGCAAACGTGTAAACATTAGCTAGTGCAATTTCAATAAAAAGTATTTACTGCTATTGTACACTTGGGATTTTTTGATCTCAAGGATAAAGTAACACTACAGCAATGCACTGCAGATGACGAGCTTTGATCTTTTATTAGTTCCTATAATTGTGTCTTAATTTGTATTCTGCATAATGAGCACTCACCTTCACTGTTTGTCCAGCTTCAGGGCCATCCTGTAAGCAAAGGGAAAAGTCTCAGGTTAGAGGATATAACAAGGATCACACAGGATTTCAGAAATCTTACTCAATAATCATTTACATCAATTACAGTCTGTTAAATTAGCATGTTTTTCCTGAGGACTATTCAACACTAAGTCTTTGGACAAAGCTTCTTTTCATATGAAACCCCAGCAAAGAGGGAAACTATCTCATATCACAAAAACAACAGTTTCTATTTTTCATTTTTTCAGATTATGTTTTTCAATAGGTAGCAATAGATTTCTGATCCTTGTGAACATAAAATCACACACGGAAGTAAGAATTTAATCAAACTGTGCTTGCTTAAATTCTGATTCTAATGAATGGGCTTAGTCTCCTGGTTTGCTTTAAACAGAGTTCATTTTTGGTACAAAAACACCCAGCACAAACAACTGAAAGGTCAGAATTTATAATGTATTTACATGGCTACAGCTCTCTGCTGCATATAAATATCTGTGAGGAGGGATCACCTATCTCCAGTGTGTGCAGTGGGTTGTGTGTGCAACAGGGGCTGTGGCTGCCTTCTCTAGAGTTCAACCCTGCCAACACTTCTTTGAAAGAGGAATATTTCCTGAAATACTCACAAACAAGCACAGCATTTGAGAGTGTTTGCTGGCTTTATCCAAGGTTTTGCAGTAATTAATTAACCGCACTTTCCCACTGGTTTCCTCTTTAGATTTCTCAATGGCAAATCTGGAAGACTGCAATGCAGTTATTTGGCTTCTTGTCGGTTATTGCTGTTATTTTGCATTTAATGCCACTTGAAGTTCCTTTTGTGATTGGGCTGGGGAAAAAGGCTGAAAGCTTGATAAAACAAACCATTAAACCTTTCTTAGCTGACTGTTTTACCAACCTGGATGGAGAAGGTGAGAGAGGTGCCACAGAAGTGTTTCTCCACCACGCTGCCGACCCTTTGCGCCGTACGGAACAAATCAGCCACTTCCTCGGGACGCAGGTCACGGAAACGCTCCACCGGCCGCAGGGGACACACAAGGACATCTGAGGGGGCCATGTCAAGGCTCAAACACAAAGCTGAGTGGACCAGAACTGTGGGAACCCAGGATGTTCCTCTGGCTGCCCTGGAGGACTCGAGACCCTGTCAGGGAGCTCAGAGACCTTGCCACAGAGCCCAAGACCCCTGTGCCTTTGATTTAGCCCTTGGAAAAAACAATTACCAACCTTTATAGGAAGAATTACAAGCCATGAAAGTTTAAGTAGAAGGATAGTGAATTTATCACAGAGTGGAAAAATAGATTTTTGGGGTTTTTAGAACGGAGGTTCAGGGGGCAAGATGGAGCAATCTGGGCATGTCCTGCCTTTCTCCTTCTTCTTGGCCTCCATCTTCTGCTGTGATGCTGGCACTTATAGATTGGTTTAGAGTAGAAGCTCACTGTCTAACATAGGTGATAGGTATTGGAAAGTTATTGTAAATATTGTACATGTGGTTTTTAGTATAAAAAGATACCACCCCAGGAAAGGCAGAGTGCCTCGGACTGTCTTGCTGAGCGGACCTCGGTGGGTCAGGAGAAAGAATTTTATAGATAAGATATAATAAACAACCTTGAGAATGAGAAATGAAGAGCTCCGACTCCTTCTTTGACCACTGGGCTAGGAAAAGAGACTTTCTAATGTTTCTCAGCGTCACTCTGACCAGCTAGAGACCCCGAGACATAACAGTCTCAATCCCCAGCCTGGAACCTGGTTCTGATCACCCTTGAATCGCCTGAGCTCTTCCTCTCTGGTGACACAGCAAGAGCATCAGAAACACAGGGCTCATTACAGGGAATTGTATGATGCTCTGTTCAGAATTCTTTTCCTCAAACCCCTCAGATATGGATAAAATTAATAAGGCTTTTGTGCTATACTGAGACCTTAAAAGGAAAGCAGATTTTTCACAGACTCAAATTTACCATCTCAATGGAGAAATGCTGGTATTTATCTCCTGTGAAAACCAGAGACATTTTCTTTTGTGATTAAAAATGGAGGAAAGCCAAAGAAATTTAAGAGGGCTTTGGATGTGTTGTCTGAGACAGCAGTTTACAATGCTTTTCCCCATATGTGATATATATTTTTGAAAATCTTGATCTGACACCTCTAATTTTAGGCACCTAAATATGACAAGCTGGCACTATGCTGATCATAGCAGTTCACTTATTTATACACATTATTTACAATTCACAAGGAATGCTCACCTGTTGTAACTATAACATGTTTTTAAAATAGATTAAGATAATTAAGACTATTTCTTTTTAAGCACAGTGTTCACAATCCTGTAAATATACTTTGATTTAATTCTACCTCGGTGACTATGATTTGACAGTCAGTGAAATGAAGCTATAAACTAAATAATGGAAGTACACAGATGCTGCTGACAGTCATCTGATCTGCTGTGTTCACAGTAATTAATAATTGCTATGATTCCTCACTTGAAAGTCAATTATGCAGCATATTAATATGGTCCAGAATTCTTAGCAGAGCCTCAGTTGTGTAGATCCAACAAGCAAGTACTTGATTCTCATTTCAATTCCCTGCAGACAGGATTCTTTGCTGACTTACAGAATAGAATTTGCAGATTGAAGACCTTAAAGTAACCTTTAACATCACTTGAACTTTCATGACCAAAGGCTATGAAAATTATTTTTTCCAGTATTAAAATAAGTATTCAAAAGACTATTTGAAGAAAATTAAGTTCCATGCCATTGTATTACAGTCATCTCTATTTTTACTGCATCTTGAAGCCTGCAGGTGTTCAGGAATATTCTGTATAATCCAGGAAAGGTAACTAGGAGCTGCTCTGCAGTTAACAGGTTCACAAAAAGGTTACATCAACCTGATTGTCAAGAACCATGTGAGACATTTGAAATAAGGAGAGATTAATACATGTGAAAGATCAATTATTTCCATAAGCACAGAGACAACATGTTTACATACACCAAGGCTGTATTATAAGAATCACACCTATCATTCTGATAGGACAGAAAACCAGACATTTTCTCAAAGTAAAGATGTAGTGGCAGGTTTTGATCATTTTTCTAAATCCAGATGAGAACAGACGAGTCTGTAATGGATATTTGCTATAGTGGGAGCAGAATTGAGCAAGCTCTACCTGTAGCAGCTCCCAAGAGAACAGGAGGAGACTGGTCCCAGCTGTGGGTGCTAATCTGCTTTGAAAATCTGTCTCTCAGGGGTTTTTTGTACAGAATCAGCTATGCCACCCCTGTTTTCCTTTTTGCTTGTTACAGCTTATGTTATTAACATTTAAGAAAGGAGAAAAATATATTTAGAAAGCAGGTACTTGGAAACAAAACAATCCTGGCTGGATACAAAACCCCTAGTTTTGTGGAGTTTTAGTCCTGCAATTCTGTGTCCCTTGGTAAATTACCAGGCATAGTAAACCCCTTGTAATTCAGTTGTGCCTTCCCAGTGCATTGTACAGAGAACATCCATAAATGATGCTATTGGCTAAACTTGGGGCCCAAGGGAAGAGCTGCAAAGTTGATTGGCAGACCTGATTTCCATACCAGGAATAAAGGAATAGAAAAACTAATTAATTTTACTCATAAGAAGGAAATCCATGTCAACACTAAAACAGGAAAAAGGACATTCATTTAATCTGAGTTCATTTTTCCAAAGGAGAGAAGGGAAGCTTGTACCCTTAGGGCATCTGATACTTAAGTAGATAATTATCCCTCTTCTGCAGCACTGCTTTATTATCATGGCTCAATGAACCATTTATAAATGAAGAATTTCCCCTCACTTACCTCTAGCAAAACTGCTGCTTACATTAAGACAAGTTTCCTTTTCTCCTTTCGAGTTTTCCCCAGCAGCGTCTCACCCTCTCAGACTCGCGCACGCCTCACCAGCAATTGTTTGTTCTCTACTTAGCTCAGGGCCACAGCCACAATTTTTGCATTAATGCTGGTTTCTACAATCTGATGTTAGCACTGTGCTGTTTGCCACTGCAATGGGTTGTGGAAAACGTGAGGCAAACAGTTCTTGGGAGAGCTTTTGTTTCCATGGCTCATTGCAGAGGGAGCGATGGCTGGTTCTGGCCAAGACAGGACAGATTTTCTCTTAATTTGATCACTAACCTGCACTGCCATTTTGCAAGTTCTCTGTATTTCTCTTCGTCTCTCCTCTTCCATACATCATCTGTCTTATCTGCTTAGACAGCACTTGCCAGCTGGTGCAGTGGAGGTTTCTCATTAACCAAGAACATCTCTGCTCATGTGGGGCCCCCAGTGCTCCTGCAGCACCTAATGCTGCACCTGTGGCATTCCTCAAAAAGGACTTGCACTTCCTCCTTACATTACCAAAACTCATTTATAACCCAAACTAGATCTTAGCTATATTTCTGTCTCGGAATTTGATAAATAATTCAAAGGCACAATCATAGAATGGAGCATCTTCTCTGAACTTTCCATCATTTCAAAATAATTCTACAAAGAATAATGATAGAAATTCTGAATCAGAGCTACATTAACATGAGAATGTAATTAGGACAACATTCAAGTTATATTTAACTATGAATATATTAAAAGGAAAATGTTAGAATGAATTCATGAATTCGAGGTCATTAGGAAAACAACCATCCACTGCAACTTTAAATCATAGTTTTTAACTAAAGTTTTTGACACTAGGATAGTTTTTAATTTTATACCTTGTTTGATTTTAAGCTGTACACCTGTTCTATTCACCTCAGAATTCTTACTAAGTTTAAAATTAGATAAACTGTTCACTGCTTTCTACAATAACCCACTGCAAACCCTGCTATGAAACCACTTCAGGTGATCATGTATTAAAATGTGACAGAAAGTGAGTCTGTGCTTATGTTTATGTGCAATTACTCCTTAGACTGAAGCATCCACTCCCATCTGAGATGCCTCAGGGTATCCAGCTGCCACTCCAGAAGGACAGGAGTCTCCCATATGCCCTACACCATAACATCATAACTCAGGTGGGACCCCTGAGTCCTCCTGGGCTGTCTGAAATGGCCACAGGTGCCTGTGTGTGTCCAAGAGCCCCCTGTAACAGTGGCTCAGCAGGACAAGGTGCTGCCACCCAGCACAGACGTGCTGCAGCACTGCTGACAGCATTCTAACTTCAGAAAGTTTGAACTTTAGCTTTCCTCTCTCTAAGCACTGTAATTAATAAGTTTTTGATTTCTTCATTCATTCTGAACTGCTACTGACTGATGAAGTTTCTATTTTTAAGCTTTGATGTGCACAGCTGTTATTTCCTTCAAGTTCTCTGAGTCAGTCCACATCACCAGAGTACATGCAATTTAATATGTCAGCTTCTCCATTTTAGGGAGTGAAAAACCTTTGCACCTTATTTTAATCTGTAACAACTGTTTCTCTCTCTCTAAATCTTGCAGAAGTCTCTCAACAGCCTTCTTTCTCTCCCTAACACCTGAATATGCATACACAAATCAATCTGTGTTGGAAAAATCCCTCTTGGATTTGTGGATTGAAGGATGTGCTCACCCTGAGGATTTTGGGGCATGACTGAAAAGTGAGCACGTGCTAACTGCACGCTGGCTTTGAGCTGATCAGAGAGAGAAAAATCAAATTCTACGAGAAAATCAAAACTCCTGGCCAACATCTGCATGGTGACCACTTCAAATGTAATTTTCCTTCCACTAATTCCCACAGAGTGAAGGCTGAAATTCAAAGGCTCAGCAGTAATTTTTATTTGCTTTATATAGATTTTGACTCAGAAGCTTAAATTATTGTAATTGTGTATTTAAAGCCTAGGCCAAGCTCTCTGTTCACTTCAATGGGACTCCACTCAACCCCACAAAGTGCCTATTATAAATTTTCACACATAACTATCAAGGTACACACATTCTGTAGTTCTGAAATGTTGGAAAAATGGCCTTTGGGGGGGTCAAAAAAGAAAGAAAACCAAAAAAAAGAAATCCCAAAGAGGTTACAATTCCTTTTATGTGACAAGCTTTAGAGCTAAACACAGCTTTTTCCTGGTTAAGTCCATTAATT